GTTGTTGTTGTTGTTGTTGTTCAGTTGTTGTTGTTCAGTTGTGGGGGCTTTGAGAGGGACCGTATGTTTAGGATTGTTTTCAGATAGCCTAAAGTGCGATGATCTTGTCAAAATCCCGTGCAGTCAAACTCGAGAAATCGAGCTCCCCTGATCTGAACAACCGAGACCATAAACTGCCCTCAGTTGCGACAGTACGTCAGTACGCGTCGGAGAACACAAGGCATGCTTAAATGAAGGTCTTATGTTTTGGACGATCTGATGATCCCGTGACACCGTGACCCCCAGAAGGAACCTTGATAAGCAGACAAACGAACCGAAGGAAATCCAGAAGAACTTCTCGAGGCTTCCGCAAGCACAGCTTCATCAACTGGGGCGCTTCATTGATTTCGAGGCATGCTGAAGCAGGTTTCAGGGCCTTGGGATACAGTTTGAGGGTATGAACTCCGTGGCATCCTTCCTTCTACCAAGAGATACCCAGAAACGCTGTTCTAAGTTTTTCAGCCCATTGCAAGGGAGCTGTAAGCCCTGCCAGCCTGCAACTTCCCACCACGACAGCCTAATGCTCTGAAAAGCGGTATTAGGGTCTTACGGTTTGGGGGTTGGGTTTAGGACGGTTTAGGGTTCGTGGTCGTGGTCCTAAGCCCTAAGTTCTAAACCCAGCTGCTGCAAACGATGCGACGACCCTGAAGCCTTTTTAAATGGGGTTAATCCAAACCCTGGCTTGCCTAAAGCATCCTTACCACTCTTTTACCAACTCTTTGAACACCCTCTTAAAACCAACAGAAAGGCTTTGCTCTTAGGCGTAGGGTTGAGGATTTGTACCTTCTGGTACTAAGACTAATTGAGCTTGCAAAAGGACCACTTCGGCACCAGATCTGCGTGGATCATGGGGCATTCTTTGGCTGGCCTATTCTGGAAAACGGCTTTCCTACACGGTCTCATATCTGCCTTGCTTAAAGAGGCTAGGGCGAGGAGGAAGATACAAAGTGGTTTATTACAAACTAGAAAAGCCTAACCACCCCTTAAAAACCCTAAAAGTGCATAAAACCCCCAGCCTGAAACCTGCAACATTACCCCTAACCTCCCAGGTACCTACTATATAGGGCCTTAGGGGCTCTAGTACCCTATATACTGGGTACCTGGGGGGTTAGGGTACACTCTGGCCTTAGAGCCCTCTGATGGCGCCCTTGCCTGCAGATTTGCCCGTCGCAAGCTGATCGACAAGTGCGTACGGTGAGCTGGACAAGTCCATCACATGGCGTACCGGCGTACTCGCTGGCGCAACGCATGCTTCGCGGGCCTAGAGAAGAAATGTTGCCCGATTTGTCGGTCGTCCATCCAAGAACACACCAAGAATCCTCTGGCTTTCGGCATTGAGTCGGCATCTGGCTCCTGTAATGGAAGTACTTTCCTTCCGGAGCAGTGGTTGCGACGCTGGGTTCCCAAACAGGCTTCACTTGTGCTTTAAGTCTGCGGGCGCTCCTTCTGCTGACGAAACTGCCCGCACGACGTTGCTCCTGCAATTTTGTCTGGCATTCACGCTAGCGGTAAATGTGCTTGCATTGTCGCCATGCTTCTCAGGTGTGCTGGTTCAGCATATGCGGTGACTGCTGTGACCAGCATGTTCAGGGCTTCTACCTATAGTCTCCATTGTAGTTCCTTTTTTTGGTTTAACCAAATATAAATATATTAACGAGTTTATAAGGTATCCCCAAAAAGCAACTACAATGGAGACTATAGGTAGGCAGTAAGGAACGTTCGTAGCAGGCTCGGGCAGCTGATCTCACGGAAGTGTAAAGGGAGTCACGAAGAATGCGTAGTTCGGCAACTGAAATCTGTAAAATTGGGGCTTGTAGCGATGCCAGGGTTTAGCAGCGCTTTTCATCCCAAGGCAAGTCTCAAAAACACCAGCAAACATAACCCGGAAATATCGAGAGTGCGTGGAAGCGTGTCTTAAACCCGTAAACCCTAAGCCCTAACCCGATTTCTTTTGTATTCTCAAAGAAACCACCTTGAGCTTTCTCCGCAGATTCTCATTCTCATTCGCCCTGTGTTCTCTTTGGACCCTCACCTCGAGAGCCCAACCTTTTGCCCATCTCCCGGATCCCGAAGGTCTAGACCCAAACGGCGCAAACCCGAAACCATCCCAAGACCCGCCTAAACCCGAGATTCCTACCTGTATCAGTAGAAGTCTTCGTACTAGTACATTGTGCCGGGAATTTAGGTTCGTTATTTTGCGGAAGTGTCTTGGCAATCTTGGTCATCTTGCAATCTTGGTCAATCTTGGTCCAAGGGCAGGATTGCCAGCAATCTTGCTAAACTTGCAATCTTGGTCATTTTGCCCCACTTGCTCACCGACTAGTTGACTTCTTCAGACCAAGATTGACCAAGCTTGCGTGCAATCCTACCCTCCCAAGTCGGGCAAGTGGAGCAAGTGGGGCAAGATTGCAAAATTGCTTGGCAATCTTGCTCAAATAATTGTGCTAGATTCCCGGCGCAGCGTACTATAGTACTAGTACTAGGACTAGAATTCGTATTCGTGCTAGTTCTCCTATTAGTATGAATTAGTACTACCTATAGTCTCCATTGTAGTTCCTTTTTTTGGTTTAACCATTTTTATATTTAGGATCCTATAAGGTAACCCCAAAAAGGAACTACAATGGAGACTATAGGTAGGACGTCCGAAGGCCCGAAGGCCGAACTCTTCACGCCGGTTCCACCAGGCGCGGCGCAGGGCCAGTGATGGAACGGCGCGGCCACTTCTCCTCTTCGTTGATGCCCATGTCCCAGTGAACTCCAGGGCTTGGGCTTTGAGCTTTCTTACAGTTTCCATGCCTTTGGTGCAGTTGTTACATTTTCTGGTTTGGGCCGAACAGGATCTTTTCCAAGTATATTGCTGCAGGCTTTAACTTTAACGGGTAAACCTGGTGATGTGTTTTCGCGGGTCCTTGTAAACCAGAGCTGCGCAACATTACCACATGTCGGCTGCTCAAGGAGTGTTCAGGTCCCGAATACTTGGGCTGGGTTTTGGTATCTGGAACCCGGAACCCAAAAGCCGAAAATTTCCAAGCAAACTTAGCAAAGTGAGCCTGAGATAGTCCTTAAACAGCCGAACTCGCAACCCCGAGAGAATCCGAAACCTTCAGACCGTAGAACAGTAAGCTGAACAAAAAAACCCAAGCCACCCCCTCTCCCCTCTTCGCACCCTGAGCCCTATCTGCCTAAACTCCGGCGCAACCGCCCCCGAGGTGAGCCTGAGCCTCCCGGCTGCAAGTGTACCACTGATACGGGTGGCTCCAGGGTTTTACGGTTTGGGGTGTAGGAGTTGGGGTTTAGGGTTTGTAGGGATACAATATCCTCCCGCTACAATGTCACGGAATAATGTCTTCGGGGCATCAATGGCATGCCAGACTGCCAGACAGGGTTCAGATTTTTGTTCGGGACAGCTCTTCGACACGGACGTCTCTGTCAGGGGCCTTCCCTTTCGAAGTCTAGGCATCAGTCAGCCCCCAAACCCGAAACCCTATAAACCCTAAGCCCTGAACCCTATAAACCCTAAACCCTGAAATCTAAACCACTGAACCCTAAACCATAAACCCTAAACCCTAAACCCTAAAGCCTAAACCCTAAACACTAAAGCCTGAATCCGAAACCCTGAAGCTGCTTCTCCGAAATCCTAAACCGTAGTGCGTCAGCGCAGGGAAGGCCCGAAATCGAACCCTAAAGCTCAACCTGCAAGAAGCATGGGTTTAGGAGGTTTAGGGTTTAGGGTTTAGGGTTTAGGGTTTAGGGTTTAGGGTTTTGGGGGTTTAGGGTTTAGGGTTTAGGGTTTAGGGTTTAGGGTTAGGGTTCCTTATAATAATTATAGTAGAATTTACCCCAAGACCCCGATTCTAATTGTGAAGGCCCCTCTATTACGGCTTTGCTGTATAAGGGTCAGAAGCCCTGAGCCGAAAGGTTCCTATCATCTCCAACAAGCGGAGCCATAACAATCCAGGGGTCCACTGACCTAAACCGCAGGTCACTGG